AACGGGTTTTAACATTTGGATATTTTCATTTTTCGATTTTGACCTTTTTTGACATTTGTTGACCTGTATCTTTTGACCTCTATTATGTAGGAACTTGACATTTGGAACATAACGTAACATTTTGAATATTGATTAACTTATTCAAAAAAAATTGAGTTGGGCGTGGCATTTCCGGGTTAAATTACTCATTATTGACATTTTTGGCCAGGGGCATAACTCGCAAAGTATACATTTGTTCAAAATGGAACTTTTTACACAATTACCTCATATTTTGAGCCACTTTGTCTTAGAATTTTGGTTGTTTCCGCTTCATAGTTCAAAAAAAGGAACAGGTTTTGGAAATTCAAAATTTTCAATTTTTGACCTTGACCTTTGTTGACCTTGACCTTTGTAGGATCAAACGTCATTGGCATTGGCTATCTATTTATACTTTTATATTTGCTGTCCTAAGTCAACTTCTGGTTTGATAGTCGTTAGCAATTTGAAATTTTAATGGCGTATATCTCTTGATCTTGACCTTTTTAGGCCTTCTCCTTTTCAAGATCAAAGGTCATTGACCTTGGATATATGCTGATACTTTCATTTGTAAGGTCTGACGTCTACTTCCAGTATTAGAATCTTCTAAAAAATGAAAATTTCTCAACTTTAGACTGTTCTTGCGCTTGATCTAATTATCGTGGAAGGATGATTTTTTCGGGGTCTTTTGCAATTTGCTACATTTGCAAAGTCCCACTCTGTGCCACGAGTGGCTCTAGTTATTATTGCTATTGGTTAAGTGTTGTTTCAAATTCTGCTCATTGGCCACGAAACTACGCGTGGTTCTTACATGGAAATAACTCACACGAAATCTCTACCTCGATTAATAAGTCGGAAGTTCTTAATATTTGAGCAAAGTCTTCAATTCACATTTCTAAGCCTTTAAATTTGATTTGAAGGCTTGGCTGAAATATTGCAGCATTTTTAAAATTCGACTTATTAAGTCGAAAATGGTGATGAACTACGTTCGTGTGTGTTATTTCCAGGTAAGAACCATACGTAGTTTCGAATGAATTGGCCTTAGCTATTGTGTTTGACTCATACCGACTTTGAAATTTAGTGTTAATCTCCCAATAAAAACATGGTCTGCTCTCCATTTTAAATTATAATAGGGGTTTAGTAATATGCTGTAGTTCTCAGCTGATAGAACTGGAATCACTACAAATTCTATGAGTATGGCAGCCTCTATAATCCAGCTGTTCGGACCTGGATCATTAGTAATTGAACGAGTGAGTGTACATTGTCTTTTCAATCCGATTGCTTGTAAATCCTCTCCCGTTTTGAGCGGGGAAAGATTAATCAAAATCATGCGAGCATCCAACTTTGAGCTTTTTATGTCGAAGGTGAATTCTCCTATATGGAATAATTATAAAAATATGTAGATACCCTTTGTGTTTGTTTCTGTTACAAAGACACATACAGATCATCACGATCAAAATCAAGGCGATTGCACCACATACACTACTAACTATAATGATGATTCTATCATGTACTGTTATAGTACTATCAACATCTCTACAATCTTCACCTTTAAAACCTTCTTTACAACTGAAAACAATGAAGTGAGCAACTTATTAATTTTCTGCTGCTGGAATTGTTGATGTTATTCATGATAAATGTTATGGCTAATGCTTATCGTGTCACTGATGATTTTAATGTTGGTGATGTGATAGCTTATAATGGTAATGGTAATGGATGTAACGGCTGATGTTAATTGCGTCAACGATAGCATTGTTGATTATTGTTAATGGTGTTTTTAATGTTAAGAATGGTGTTGGTGGTGTTAATGATGCTCATGATTATTCATTGAGTTGTCAATGATGTTGATGCTTATTTCAACCATCCCCTGCGCCCCAAATAATTAATGGATTGCCACCCCCACGCCCCGAAAAAATCTGACAACTTCCAAATTCCATTACTGCAACTAAACGCCATGCACCATTGCCCCTCCGAACAATCAAGTTTGGCTAGGGGCCTGGGTTGTGTTAATGGTGGTTCTTGTGCTTTGATGATTGTTATTTGGATGGAGATGGTGCTGCTGATGCCATTGTTAAAGATGGTGTTAATGATGTTGTTGATGGGGCTAATGTTAGCCCCATCAATCATTGCTTAAGTACACACCTGCATTTAATGACCTCTGGTGAATTTATCATTTCACACTGACTGTGACCAGAACATGCATCAAAACACGGATCTGTCAACCTTTTGGCAGCATCTACAACGACATCAATAAACTATTATCTATTTGTTTTAGTAGAACTTAAAACTCGATTCCATTTCATAATATGTTTGTGAATCTTGAACACACCCTGCATTATATAGATCTACATGTACTAAAATCAGAGTCGAGGAAGTTACGAATTACAATTCTACTTATCCTACCTGACTTACTGAACTTAGTCATCTGGGCATCAAAGTATGCTACATCAAAATCACCAGGCAAATTCTTCAAAATCTTGGAGAGCTTTATCTTTTGTATTATTATATCATGAATATATGTAGCTGTGATGCCATTCCTTGAAGTTACTCTAAGATTGAATAAAACCTCATAATGACAAATGACGCTTCCATTGCTGAAATATTAAAATTCAGAAAGAATATGTGTGGCTGAAATTCAATTTGACTAAGGAAGACAGTTGTTGTCATTTTGCCAAGCACTTTTTTTGTTTTTAAAACGGAATACGAATGAAAGCATCTAAACATATTCTTCCGGGTAAACATCATCGACTTATTGGTTATGGCCTACCCGACTGTCTAAACAAAGTTTTGAATATAAATATGATTAGTTTGATATATCTATATAAGAGTTCTATGCCCGATATGATAAGTTTTGTAAAGACCTTACCTGAAACTTTTAATAACTATTGCATTGAAGCCCAAAATATTTTTATATAACTCATTGAGCTGAAATCAAAATCATCAACACCTATTTATACAATTATCGCTTATGATCTTGCATTTATTTGCATTTTAAAAATAAGGACGTCACACGTAACACGAGCAATATGGCTAAAGACAAATAGTTTAATAGATAGTGCGAACAGTGAAAAAAATGAAACTTACTACTGTCTTAGACGCCTTGGTATAGTTTTGGTATAATTCAGATGTATTATTGATTAATTCGGCTCTGAAAGTCTCCGAAGTTCTTATTTTCAATTGGATTGTGTAGTTTTTTACATCTGAAAGTTGACAAAAAAGTTAGTAAAAGGCTCCTTTTTTACATCTTCTGACGAATTAGACGTAATTGTTTTTTTCTTAAATTTTCTCTATAGAGGATCGTATTGATCTCAGCTGGTAAAACAAGCCTACAACAGAAATTTACAATAAAAACCACGAACAGTCGTGGTCACCGACTCAAATCTTGAGTAAAATCTCGCGTGTGTCCGCGCTTCCGCGACAAGATTATCGCTTTGCCGACCGGATATATATTCTAAAAAGCCAAAATAAAGTCAAGAGGAATAGGCAAAGGGATGTGGAAAGTCAAAAGAAATAAAAGGTCAAGAGACATTAATGTTAGAAGAAGTAAAAGTCCATGTAAAATAAAAATTCAAGAAATATTAACTCAGAATAAATAAATGGTCAAGAAAAGTAAAAGTGAAGCGAAATAAAAGGCGAAGAGACATAAATATCAGCAGGTCAATATATATGATAAGGCAAATAATATTCATTATAATATATCGATAAATAATATATATATTATATTCGATAAATAATTCTTTAAAATAAACATTACCTATCTTTGGCTTGATAATACCAGGTTGCAGCGTAATCTGGATTGGGGTTGTCAATCTTTGTGTCAAACTTGAAGTAAAATTTTGTGCCGAATTTGAAGTTGATGACCCTCCTAATGTTGATGATATCAGTCCAATAATTATGGAAAGAGTCAATATCACTGTTAATCTTCCCGGTGTTAATGAACCAGCATCCCTGTAATGTAGAGAAACATTCAAAAACTACTCAAATTCAAATGTGTTCCTTAACGAACATAACTAGCACATTGGGTTACGAGTCTGTCCCTGCTTTCTGCATCTCTGACTTGGGTAGTCCGAGGTACTATATCTATAGATAGAGGGAGACAGGTAAAGATGTTAGAGGATATGACCTGTTCTACGAGAAAATTGTTATTTTTACGAAATTTTTAACCAATCCAAAAGTGAGACTAAAAGAACATCGTCATCATTTGCAAGAAACGGGCCCTACATGTCGCTCTTTGAATAATAACGTCAGTAGAACGTGACTGTGTTAGAAATTGTTTTAGATGTAGACGAAAAATACCTTAAAACGAAATTTAAATCTGAATTAAACTAGTTTGGCCTCATATCCATGACTCTTACCTCACCTAAAGCTTCCAAGTCAACATTGGATATGTCTCCATTCTTATCAAATTTTTTCAGATATAAGACTAAAACATTTCATTCCATTCTCTTTAGATTCTGCGGGATTAAATCGTAAGAGCTTTATGCTTGTGGTGTTTTTAGGGTGGGCAAGGGAAACGTGTGCCCCAGAATTGAGGCTATCCCTGATTAAATTCTAATACTTTCATATTTATCATTATTTAAAGGCCATTTATTGTGATTGATTGGGGTCTTGAAAATATGGAAATTGTTTGCAGAAGTACTAGAAATGTACAAAAGTCGAATAATCCCTTCAAAAATATCACAAATTAGGAATTTCACTTTCTATTTCTATAAAAATCTTTTATAGATAGATTTCGGAATATCAAGATAAGCGGATAATTATGGATACACATGCATTTAAAGGCACAAATTTTGACAGTGAGTTGTGAACACTATTACTGATTGGCGTAGCGAAAAGAATTTCCCGTTCCTCAGACTAAGGTACGATTGGTCAAAAGGATGGCGAACTTGTCGAACACGGGGAATGAAATGACTGTGAACTCTCTTCGACAATAATTGGCCCATACTCGACACTGCCACAATGATACAAAGAAACATCTATTGTGATTTGTTAGTTCTTTTGGACACATATTTTGTAATACAGTTAAACTTGTTCAAAGCAAACAGTCATTTAAGTTAAATTAAAAAAAAAAACACTTACATTTTGTTCATATCTGGTAAAGTAAAAGTCTACATCATTGAGCAGTTTTCATAGGCGTATTGCACACATTCGATGTAAAAACATAGATAATCGCATTTTATCTGCAAATAGGAAGTTTGATAATAAAAAAGGACAAAAGTCCAATAAGATAAAAATTATGTATGTTTTTTGCACTTATCTGCATGTTTGTACAGACAATTTATCTTATTCAAATAGAATATTAAAAGCCTGTGAAAGCTCTGCAGTAGTTTGTTGCAGGCCTATGCTTTGTAGCGGTGTTTTGTAGGCAACAGCTCTGTAGCGGTGTTTTGTAGGCAACAGCTCTGTAGTGGTTTGTTGTAGGCCTATGCTCTGTAGTGGTGTTTTTTTAGGCAACTGCTCTGTAGTGGTGCTTTTTAGGCAACTGCTCTGTAGCGTGTTTTGTAGGCAACTGCTCTGTGATAGTTTGTTGCAGGTTCATGCTTTGTAGTAGTGTTATTTGTAGGCAACCGCTCTATAGTGGTTTGTTGCAGGATCATGCTCTGTAGTGGTGTTTTGTAGGCAACTGCTTTGTAGTGGGGTTTTGTAGGCAACTGCTCTGTGATAGTTCGTCGCAGGTTCATGCTCTGTGGTGGTGTTTTGTAGGCAACTGCTCTGTAGTGGGGTTTTGTAGGCAACTGTTCTGTGATAGTTTGTCGCAGGTTCATGCTCTGTAGTGGTGTTATTTGTAGGCAACCGCTCTATAGTGGTTTGTTGCAGAATCATGCTCTGTAGTGGTGTTTTGTAGGCAACTGCTCTGTAGTGGGGTTTTGTAGGCAACTGCTCTGTGATAGTTCGTCGCAGGTTCATGCTCTGTGGTGGTGTTTTGTAGGCAACTGCTCTGTAGTGGGGTTTTGTAGGCAACTGCTCTGTGATAGTTTGTCGCAGGTTCATGCTCTGTAGTGGTGTTATTTGTAGGTAACTGCTCTATAGTGGTTTGTTGCAGGATCATGCTCTGTAGGTGTGTTTTGTAGGCAACTGCTCTGTGGTGGTTTGTTGTAGACCTATGCTCTGTTTTGTAGACAAATTCTCTTTGGTAGTTCGTTGTGGGTTCATGCTCTGTAGTGGTGTTTTGTAGGCAACTGTTCAGTGGTAGTTTGTTGCAGATCCATGTACTGTAGGAAGAACTATTTTTCCTATATGACGCTATTTTTGTTTCTATCTCGCTTTGTTTCTATAAGTTTCAGTGCTAGCTCTGAACAATGCAAATGATAATGAATTACCATTGAACCATATTTAAAACAAACAGGAAACACCCATGGGTTATAATTCCTGCAAGCTATACCATTGTACCTACATTGACGACAAATCAAGCGTTAGTTCCCAATTCACCGTTGTATAAGAGGAATTTCCCTATGATGTCATCGTGTGTTTTTTAATACACATGAAAGTAGGTCGAATCTATATTAATATGATGAATTATGTGTTTTATCTGAACAATAGTATGTAATGAAAAGGCTCGCAGTGATGGGAGCCGCGGTGGCTCAGTGAGTAAGATTCTTGTTCGCTAACCTGAAGGTCCCGAGTTCAATCCCGGCATAGGTCGATATAATACCTTCGGATTTTTCAACCCGTTTTCCCCCTGCCAGTGATGCAGGTAAGAGGGGCTAACATGTAAAAGCGTCTAGTCGTTCGGATGGAACTAAAATTGAGGTCCCATGTGCTTCAGGCTGTGCACGTTAAAGATTCCTCGACAGTTGGAAATCAGAAAAGAGCTAGTTAATGCTCGCTAACCGATGGGAGCCGCGGTGGCTCAGTGAGTAAGATTCTTGTTCGCTAAACTGAAGGTCCCGGGTTCAATCCCGGCATAGGTCGAGATAATACCTTCGGATTTTTCAACCCGTTTTCCCCCTGTCAGTGATGCAGGTAAGAGGGGCTAACATGTAAAAGCGTCTAGTCGTTCGGATGGAACTAAAATTGAGGCCCCATGTGCTTCAGGCTGTGCACGTTAAAGATTCCTCGACAGTTGGAAATCAGAAAAGAGCTAGTTAATGCTCGCTAACCGATGGGAGCCGCGGTGGCTCAGTGAGTAAGATTCTTGTTCGCTAAACTGAAGGTCCCGGGTTCAATCCCGGCATAGGTCGAGATAATACCTTCGGATTTTTCAACCCGTTTTCCCCCTGTCAGTGATGCAGGTAAGAGGGGCTAACATGTAAAAGCGTCTAGTCGTTCGGATGGAACTAAAATTGAGGCCCCGTGTGCTTCAGGCTGTGCACGTTAAAGATTCCTCGACAGTTGGAAATCAGAAAAGAGCTAGTTAATGCCCACTAACCTGACAAAATTTCCCTCATTTCACCCTGCATGGCGTTGCCCGTCTGCGTTAGCCCACATGGTACTATACGCTTTTGGCACATAATATGTGCTCTTACCTATCTACGCGCTTCCACGAAGCAGTTGCATTTTGAATTCAACACCGACAGTCTGCCCCCTGTTTCTATGGCAACATTTGCTTTGCCCCTCTCCAATAGTACTCCAATAATACCACTTTTCATTTCAAAAACATTTATTCATGTTCAAACTAGAAAAAATAAAGTGATTCGTAATAATTGTGTAATGGTAAAATGGTCACAATGATTTAGTCACAAGGTAATTTGGTCATGGTTATAGGCAACACTAATTTTTTTGCAACTTAAAATAAAAAGTGCACACAATAATTTGATCAAGGTAAATTTATGTTTATTTGGTCAAGAGGTAATTGGTCAAAGTAATAAGGTCACAAGGTATATTAGTCACAAAATGTTGTCAACGTAATGGTCACAAGATAAATTGGTCACAAAAATTCGATCATGGTTATTGGTCATGGGAATCGGTCATATTAATTTGGTCGCAAGGTAAGTTTGTCTCAAATCGGTCAAGGCATTGGTCACATGATGAATTGTTTGCGAAAATTTGGTCATGGTTATTTGTCACTAGGTGAATTGTTAATGTTAATTGGTCACAGCAATTTGGTCAAAGTAAATTTTTACAAATATTTGTTACAATAATTTGGTCATGGTAATATGTCACAGGGTAAACTGGTGTGAGTTATATTTTGTCGTCAGAAATTGTTCTCATTAATTTTGGTCAATTGGTAATGGGTCACAGTAATAAAGTCACAGGGTTAATTGGTTAATTTCATTTATCATATGCCTATGACCCTTTGATTAAATAAAATAACCCCACCCCAAATTTTGTATTTAGATTGTCACCGGCATCTTACTAGTTTTTTATGTTTTATTTATCATCACATTGTATGAATTATAATCATCACCACCCCACCATTATAATCAAGAAGTAATTTACCACATCCCTTTAATGGTTTCTCTAATCACACACCCTTGTGATTACCCCTACATAATTGATTAATGTATTCCTATTGTTTTAATCCTTGTTATTGGTGCCCCACACTATATATCCTGAATGCCTTGTTATTTTGTATCATTGCTTGATAAAGACGAAAGAATCATCGTCGAAACGTCGCAAGTTATTTATTAAAGTAATTGTTATCCATATAATTGTGTTCATGTTTACTAGTCACAGTAATTTGTTCGTTAAGTAATGTTGTCACAGTTATTTGGTCACGAGGTAAATCTGTCATGGTTATTTGGTCATGGTAGTTAGTCACGATGTACACTAGTCACAGTTGTGCACTCACAATTAAAATATTTAATCATTTAATAATAAACACCATACAGTAAGCAATGATATAATTTGTTAGCCAGTCAGCCAGTCCTTTCTTCTACTATTTTTCGATCTCCGACATTCTAATCATCTGTAATCGACATTACTTGAAGGTCTTCGCTTTATCGTTGAATCCAAACGACGAGACACCTTTTCCGTCTGGATTGGAGGCTCTCGAAAAATTCATGTCTAAAATTCATGTATTCTAATGAAAATGTTTTCTACAACAAATTTATGCTGACACTGTCTAATTGGCCAGCCAAGCCAAGCCAATTGTCAATTTTAATGCAATTCTTCAAAATAAATCAGGTGTGATCATGGAGCTAATGTTGTAATTAAACCATTCGGTCAACTATAGTTAGAAACGGGGAGCCGATTGACGAAGACCAAACTGTAATACAAAAATAATATAATTACTAATTTACGTGCTAAGCTGTTAAAGTTTTGGAAAAAGGCAGTAATTCAGGCGGAGTTATTAAAGGAATAATGATTTCCCCACCCGTTTCACCAATAATACCTTAATCTCAGTAATAGGGAATTTAGCTAAGCTAATCAGTAATAGTGTTCACAGTGCACCGTCGAAATTTACGCCTTCAAACCCATGTGTGAGTTTCGTACATTCCTAGTTCTTATAAAGACTATTTAGAAAACACTATTCAAGATCCAAATCAACCCCTGAAAATGGCGAATGGAAAAGAGGTTTCCTAAACTTTTTATGTGTATCGGTTACACTAATACAGTCGATTTGCACCTTGCAATTTTCAGTCAGACGTCTGAGTTTCCTTTAATTAAAGAAGTGCTTAACCATAGGCATAGATGAAATCATTAATTGCAAAAGCCTTTGCGACGGTGAATCTATATTACGCTCAGGTTTTGTCGGACCACAAGAGCCACTTACGTTTGACTAAAAAATAGCCATTTGTCTTAGAATATCTTCGAGTTCATTACGATTATTACAATGTATGATGATTTTATATTTCAAATTCATTCCCTTCAAGAAAATTCACTTCAGTACAACCATATTTCCAAAAAAAAAAAAAAGATTGACAATCGCAGTAATATTTTGGAGTTGAAATATAAATTCACGCAAAAATATTTTGAAAAATGACGTACAGCATTTGATTGGGTGAATGATACTTAATTCAGAACATGAGACGCCTGACAATTTCGTCAGATCTTGGATGGCATTCGCATTAAAAGGGACGATATATCCAGATTCACATTGAAATCAGCTTGGCGGAAATGTGTAATCTGAAACTAATGACTTACTTCTCTTGAGGGTTGCCCGTCTACATACGGGAACAACTGGTACTCGGGAGGTGCAATGTCCGGG